TAAAATTGGCATAAAATGTAGTAAGGTGTATATTCCATGCATTTTCTCGAAAACTACAACTAAGGTCCGTGAAACAAAGTTGAATTTATGATTTTGACGGCTCTTGGTTTATTTTAAATTTTTAACGAATAGTTTAATGGGCAAATGACCTTTCTTTTTTTGCTGGACCTACTTTCTTGAGATTATGCCTAAAACGCAATGTAAAGTACTGTCCTGTGATTCGATACATTTTCGGATATCATCTTCATCTTTATCAACTAGCGGTTAGAAAATATTATTAAATGTGTGTGCGTGAATATTTATACACTAAAACCAATTACCTAATAATTATTTTGCGTTTTTTTGACTAAGGCCAAGTCACCATTGTTTTTTTTCTTAATCGCTGATGGGTATTTTCATTTGTTAAATTAATTCTTTTGAGTCAATAATTTGAATACTATAAGCTGCAGTTTTTGCACATGATTTTATTTATATCATCTGTTTTTTTGATACACCCGTTTCTTGCAGCCACTGCTCTCATGGCTCCCATTCATAATCAGAACGAACACTCACTATCAACCACTGGACAACTTGAACATCTTGAAGGCCGATCTCCCGACCGTGGACCTATCTATGAGCGCAGCCGCTTGGCATTGGGGATCGGACAGGCCCTTGCAGATGTTATCGCCGGCATTTGCAGACTAGGCCAAGCTTATCAATGCTCAAATAGTATGACTGGATCAGTATGTGTTCAAGTGAGTCAGAAATTTATGTTCCTATTTGAAAGCTTAGCTCCCAACATATTTAGAATTCTCATTCTGATATTTTATTTAGATTATATTGTTTTGTAATCTATTGCTTGTTGCAATCATGCTAGTCATTAACTATAGTTTTAAGACTTTCTTATCATAGCTACTTTTGTTTTCAGCTTGATCTCATTTTTGCTAACGTTGGTCTCAAAATGCCTACACTGATTCGGCTATGTCGAGAAAAGCTGGCTAAAGTGTGTTAACTTTGCTTAAATTAGCTATTTTTCTATAATCTAATGTTTGCTTTTTATTTAAAAATGTCTATTTATGTATTAATGTGCATTCTTATATAAAATAGGATACAATTTTGTTGTAAATAGTTTGAAATCTGCTCGTTTACTTTTATTATTATCCTTGATTTTTTCATAACGTTTCTCAATCAAACGAACCCCTCTCCATCTTCAAAACTACCGTATTTTCCGGCGTATAAGACGACTGGGCGTATAAGATGACCCCCTGACTTTTACAGTAAAAATATAGATTTTGTTATATACTCGCCGTATAAGACTACCCCCTCTTCCGCACACCAACTAAAACTTATAAGAACATCAGATTTGATTTCAACATGGTAATTTTAATTCAAAGAAGCAAAACTGTTACTTATAAATATAAGGCTGAATGTCATCAAACATGTACCGTAAACATAAGTGCAAGTGGATTAAACTCAA